TGGGAAGGAAGCGGTCAGGCGGCTGGCCAGGAGCGGCTCCCTCTCCGCCTCCTCGGCCGCAGCTCCTTTCCTGTCCCCCCCGTCCTGCCGGTCCCTGCCTCACCTCCCCGCCTCCCAGCCACAGCCCAGACCGCCCTGCTCACTTCCCACGCCCCCTACGCACCATGCTCTCCCAAGGGAGGGTCCTACGGCCGAGGCCAGGCCCACCGCCCCACTGGTTAGAAGGATGGAGGACAATTCCAGTCTGCAGTTCCAAAGGCTGGACTCCTGACCAGAACTGGGGGCAAACCAGGGATTCCAGGGGGTTAATCATTTGTCAGTCTCGGCACCAAATGGGTAAACAGTCAACTAGCCTCTTGGGGGATATGGCCATCAGGGGCCTGCCTCCTCCCTCTGGTCACTAAGAACCCTAAGCAGTTGAGCATCGACCTATGAACCAGGAGGTCACAGTTCGATTCCCAGTCAGGGCTCAGGGGACATGCAGGAGGCAGGCGATCCATGATTCTCTCTCATCACTGATGTTTCTATTTCTCTCTCTCCCTCTCCCTTCCTCTCTGAAATCAATAAAAACATTTTTTTTAAAAGAACCCTAAAGGCAAAGTGATCCGCCTCACCTATTTGTAGGGGATGCCCCCAGGAGCAAGGAGAAGGTGTCCGTACCCGAGGGGTCAGCTGACTTCCCCAGTCCCACCCGAGACTGTCCAACCCAACATGCCAGCCTCTGAAATGGCAGGCTGCTGCGGGAGGTGAACAGAGAACGCTGAGAGGTGACCGCAGCTAAGCCGTAACCACTCTCCAGACAGGAGAAGCGAAACGATGCGGTTTCCTCCTGTGGGTGCTGCCTTTGCCTGGGGAGGAAAGCCCAAGCTGAAGCGAGAGAGGCTCACAACCCAGACAACTGAGAAATCAACCTCCAACCCCATGGCCAGAGCTAGTCCGAGACGCCTTCCAATCTCCATGGTCAAGAATAGCACAGTGTCCTTGGGGTCAGGCATTTCCTGTCTGTTGGTTGGACTGGGGCCCCTCAGTTTGGCCAGAGGGCCTCAGCTGGTCACAGCTGCCACGCCTTCCCCACCCCCTCCTCCTGCACAAAGTGAGGGTGATCGCAATGCAGAGACAGATTCTAAGAACCATGGAAGTTAGACCCCCATCTGCCCTCAGATGAGAAGGCACAAAATCCACAGGTTTTCATGCAGGCGTTTACGCGTCCATGTTTCACACTTAACTGATTAGAATATTCTACCTGATGCACAGAGAATCCTTCTGTTCATGATGCCCACCCCCTACCGGGCTTTGGCATCACAGCACCAGCACCAGCACCACCTGCATACACCCTCAGCTTCTTCCCTTACCTAGCACCTGCGCAGGCCTCGGAAGAATTACCTTTAGATACCTGCTCTCAGCATGTTCAAATGGTCAATGTTTGTATTTCATGGAACCAAAGACTTGATATCTCTTATTTCAAACTCCTTCTGCAGACAGGAAACGGAGGCTCAAAGAGGGAAAGCGACCAGGCCAGAGACGGAAAGGTAGGGTGCTAGAAGAGTTATGGCCAGAATCTCATTTTTCTGGTGGCCTCTCCAGTGATCTTTCCATTTCTTTAGTATAAAACACCACTTCTAAAACAGCCAGCCAGATCAACCTGGGGCATATATTTGTTTGAGTTTACACACACACACACACTATTTGTTCAGGGTTCTCCAGAGAAACAAAACCAATGAGATGCTTATATAGAAAGTAAGTTACTATAAGAAATTGGCTCGTGTGATTAAGGATACTGGCAAGTCCAAAATCTGCGGGGTGGCCCAGCAGGCTGGAGACTCAGCTGATGCCACAGTTTCAGTCCGAAGGCCTGCTGGGGAAGCCCTCTCTGCTCAGCGGAATCAGTCTTTTTATTCTATTCAGGCCTTCAACTGATGGGGCGAGGACCACCCACAATGATGGAGGGCAACTTGCTTTACTCAAAGTCCCTAAAAATTCTGCCACAGAAACACTCAGCATAATGTTGGACCAAATATCTGTGTACCTACGGGCCCAGCCAAATTGATGCATAAAATTAAGCAGCCACACACACTGCCGCTAAGAAATACAGCCTGTGATCATCCCATCATATGTCGAAATGTACTCATAAAACACCTTCTTTTTCATAAAAGCCTTTATCAGATGGTTGAGCGAGGTCTCTGTAGAGGGCAAGCTGGAAAGAATCCACATTCATCTTCATTAAAGATCTACAGAGACACGTGTGTGCACAGGCACGCACCTCCACAGCAGAAAGGAATGCAACTTAATAAGCTGTTTCCCTGAAGGACAAAAGAGAAAACAGGCTTAGAATGCACAGGGGGTGCGTGTGGGGTATGGGAGCTGTTAGCAAGCAGCTTTGCTCCGGGAGGGTTGATGCTGGAATCCCGTTAAGGTGACCAGATGGGGCCAGGTGACCTCAGGAAGTTGTTTCCAACCCAGATGATTCTGTGATCACATTTCCACCGGAATGAACAGTCCTCAAGAGAGGGTTCATCACTGCACGTAGGGACCGAGGAGTGCTGGGACCAGAGGGCTGGAGGCGCGCATTCAGCCGCCTGCAGACTCGATAGGAAACGCTGCTCTTCTCATTCTCTGCCCAAAATAACTGTGTGGTGTTGTGGATGAAGAATGGCTGGCGTGTTCCTGCCCAGTCCATTCCAGCAGTGGGTAAGTGACACCTCCGCGTACTATCTGCCAAGGTGTCTTCCAACAGAGAGAAAGCAGCAATAAAAATGTAGAGATGTCACCTGATACTTCCACTTTCCTGCCTGATTAAAATTTAAACTCCATTGCTAGATTGTTTTCAGCATAAAGTGAAACATTTACAGACCCTGAAAAACACCTTTCAAAAAAAATACTAGTGCTACTCTTATGTCCTTAAAAATAACATTATCAGCAAAACCCAGATCACAGGAAACTATAAGAGACACATGATCCAGTTTCTTCAGTGGCAATGACAAAAATGGCAAGAAATAGAAAGGAGGAAAACCTATTGTGTCAAAAAAAAAATTGAGATGTTCCAACTATCCTCAGTGTATAGACCTTATTTGAATCCCAGTTCAAATGAACTACTGAAATAAATGACAAGGCGCTTGGGGAATTGTGAATACTGATGCTTGATATTAAGGAATTGTTCATTTTTTTAAAGGTGTTGGTATTGGGGTTAAGTTTACAAAGAGTTCTTATATAACTTTCAGAGATACATAATGAAATATTGGCAGGTGAAATGGTATTTCTGGAATTTGCTTCATTTGAAATGATTTCTAGGATTCCAGGACAAAAGGGGAATGGGCAGGGATGCAGATGAAACAAGCAGGGTGGTGGCATATGTGGTTTTAGTATACTACACTATCTACTTTTATATTTGCTAGAAAACTTACTAATAAAAACATTTCAATGGAAAACATAACAAATTATTTTTTTCTGAAATTTAAGGTTGATTATATTCATTTAAATTCTGAGCCGACCATAATAAAATGTCAGTGACTCCCATAAAAGGATCAGCCTGCTTTTATTAATTATGCCAAATCCGAAGTAAGTATAATGCTTAATGCTGAATCTAGAGCCCATGGGAATTGGGGGAGAGCCAGCAGGGTAAAGGGACTTAAGAAACTTCAGTTTGATGCTTTTGAGTCTTTTTTAAACTGATCTTTATGAGATAGAGGAATAGCTGTTATATCCAAAATAAAATCAGAATCCTGTTTCCACTTTCATCTCCCTTTATGTTTCCAAAGGACACAAAGAAGGATGCGGCCATAGCCAGTGTTGCTTGTTTATTCTCACCCTTAGTTCAGCAACTCTACTCAAGACCAAGGGGAACCAGAACCAGAACCACGTGGCTCAGCTGGTTATGTTATCTCCTGCACCAAGAGGTCTCCAGCTTGATCCCCAGTGGGGGGGAATGGAGGGGGACGAGGAGGGGCGGGTGCAGGAGGCAGCCGATCCATGTTTCTCTCTCATCCATGTTTCTATCTCTCTGTCCCTCTCCCATACTCCCTCTGAAATCAATAAAAACATATTTTCGTAAAAATAAAAAAAAAAAGACCTGGATGGAGGTCCTGGTCCTGACAACTCTGGGAGAGGGATGTTTTATCCCCAGGAAAGTGAAACTGACAAAATGATGTGAGTGTCCAACAGAGGACACTCACAACCCAGAATGATCTTCTAAGGCAGCGGTTCTCAACCTGTGGGTCGCGACCATCGGAAAACACATATAGCATATCAGATATTTACATTACGATTCATAACAGTAGCAAAATTACAGTTATGAAGTAGCAACGAAAATAATTTTATGGTTGGGGGTCACCACAACATGAGGAACTGTATTAAAGGGTCATGGCATTAGGAAGGTTGAGAACCACTGTAAGGGGATGAAAAATGTAAGGGTGTGTGTCAATGAAAAGAAAATATACCCATGATTTATGAACATGTGATTCCTAGGAGATGAACCCTGGCAGGAACAGCTACTTTCCCAGCCCAAACGGAGCACTTTTAAATTTAGCCAGTGTCCTTCTCAGAAGAACTCCGAGGAGGCCATCCAAATGGACTCACACCACACTACAAAGAGATCAGCTGAAAGAGATCCTATTCCCACCTCGTGCTGGAAACCACCAGCTCGCAGATACTTTCCACCTCAGCCAAGGGTGTACGGTCAGTCTGTGATGCACAGAACCAGTCACAGCTCCCATCCAGGAAGTGACCCATCTCTCTCAAGAAGGGGGTGGTGGCATCCAGGCTCATTGGCAGCTCGGCCACCGTAATTCCCAAGTCAGACACAGGCTGTTTGGGTTCCTTACCTCCCTTTACCTCCATCCAGTTCCTAGCATTTCCTGGAGAGAGCAACAGTCCGACACCCGCTTATAAAGGGAAAAGTGGCATTCTCCTTAGGCATGGGTCCTCAGCCTAAGAGCCTTCAGAGTCCACCAACTCCCTGAAACCTTGTGAATGTGTCTGTAGAAACTTTTTCCTGATGAGAAGGCCCCAGCTTTCCCTTGGCCTCGGAAAGGATGTGGGGCACAAAAACAAGACAAAAGCCCTGTTCTAAACCATGACTGCAGACGACTCGCGATACATTCCTGATCATAGCCTTTCAGAAATCTTCCAGAGTGTGTTGGGAGAGGGGAATAAGAGCAATGTCATCACTGTATGCCAGGAATCTTCTGATGGGCTGGTGGAGAAGGGAGATAGGACTGTGAGCCCCAAATCAGGCAGGAGAACAAAAATATCAGTACATTTCAAACAGGGGATGATGGAGCGGGATGATGGAGCAGGATGAGAGAATCTGCAAATGCAACCTGCCTGACCCCCCCAGTCTGCCGATCTAGGCTAGCACCCTGTTTTACGGACGAGTCAGGCAACAGAGACACAGACAGGTGAAGAGCAGGCAGGAGGCTAAATCACTGTCTCAACTTTCACTCCAATTA